GAATGCTCATAACAATGCAAAAGTGCACATTCTCAATTCAATGACACTACCAAGTAGTACTTCCCTTTCAGTTTGCCTATAATAATTTATGTGCTGTTTAAGCATAACTACATGGAAAATAATGTCAATGGAACAAAGTGTATGCCAAACTACCAGTTAATTGATATTCAGTTTTAGCAGAGGTCGGGTAATAAACAAGTCCAAAAACATGGGGATACACAGATCCAAATTAGCACGCACATGATTAGGCCAAAGTTTTACGGCATGTGAATGTACTTACCTAGCTGACAAGTTCTACATTTCTTGTTACTATGCAACAATTTCCACGGGAAATTTCATTATTGATCCCTAACTGCCCGAGTAGCAAGTTGGTCGTCGAATTTTTTACAGTTTCACAGTTTCCAGTGACATAAACTGTTCAAATCTCTATTACAAGTCATGTGAGCCTCACATGTCCAACTTTGTGAAGCTAGGTTTTCTTTTTCAACTTGGGCTGGTGCCCAGAAACATGAAGAGGAGAGGTGTTTCCCTAAGGACAATCTGGCTCCTTGGGCAATTGGTTGCTGACCATTGGTGCAATTTTCCCTATGTACTTATTTTCCGCGCAATGTTTGATAAATTTTGTTGGTTTCTGTTTTGGAACAAGCATTTCATTACATATTCTTTCGTGGAGAGGAAAATGATAGAATTACTGGTACGGATCTCACATATAATACTTTACCTGTGGGTATTTCAGAGGAGGCAACATTGGTTCAGGTAAGTCATCAGGGAAGAAAGGATGCTCGTCTGGACTGTTGTATCTTCCAACCTGGGTCGAATATGCTTCAAAAAACGCATACGTTCTCAATTCTCAAAGGTTGTAATAAAGATTTGATATACCTTAGCATGAAGTTTTTCAGTTTCTTTGACCATGTACTGAACCAAAGATCCATGGAATCCATCCATGGAAAAAGCATCAGGATTATATGTCTCCGCATTGTAAAAATATTGGGCTCTCTCGACGAGGCTGAATATAATGCTATCCTCTTGCCGAATTAACGAGCTTCGTATACCATCAAGAGTATAGCTCTCAGTCTCGTCTACCCTACTTTTCGGTGTCAATCTGAAAGGATACACAAGTAACTTAGGAACGTAGACGTACAAGAGGATTTTAAAAGTTACAAGACCTTCAAGAATGCCAGAAATGAATAGAGACCAAAGCTCTCAAAAAACTGAGAAGTCCATCTTCATTTACGGTTATCCTGGCAAATTTTATCAAGAAGATACGTCTCCAGCATAACAGAAGAAGATATCATTTTCAAAAAAATTTCGTTGTACTATGCCTAAAAAAATTAAGAACACAGTAATAGTCCAATGTTCAATCTCATAGGTTGAGACATAAGAATAATCATATGTTGTCTTGCATGAATACCATTTGTAAGTATGTGCTGCAATGAGCTCGTGCGTCATTAACAAGAACGATCAATTTGTTAGGGGCTTTCGCTGGCATGAACAATAGTATCAAATACTCTAGCAATTCCAAAAGTGTGTTCAAATGTCTGCTGAATGTAAGACATACTGTAAATGGCAATAGCTACACAGTAGGCGTTCGGATCATGGCATCAAACTCTTGGTTCTTTCTTTTTGGTGTTTATGGTTTGATTCTTAAGAAAAAGCAATTATCATACGATAGATCAGAATTCCACACTAAAAATTCAGAAAGAAAAAAGGGAAATAAAAGGAGAAGATCAATTGTATAGTCAAAGGAACAAAAAGAAAAACCCATTAGATTAACATGTTGCATAATGTCTCATAAAAACAAACAGTTAAAGGAACAAGTATAATATATATTCTCACATTATATGAGACCTCAACATTGCATTTCTAAAATTAAACAATAAAAACTAAAAAGCAATCATCTGTCTAGAGTTATCTCTGATTGCGTTTTTTAATTAAAAAAAGCAGAAAATATAAATAAATCATGCTCATTTATCAACAATACCATCAATATTGAAAACTATCGTCAGAATTCAAGTTATTCTATCATTAAACAAATTCAAAATAAGCACTTAAGTTAATATTCAATAGCACAGGACTGAAAATAAGCTAAAATCTTTTACATTACAACTCGAATAAAACATGCATTAAGTGCATACCCAACTGTGATAAGAACATGAAGACATGATCAATTTGAAATTCCACAGAGCAGAGAGACTAAAACTACCCAATAAGACTAAGAGCTCAATTTAAAATATTTTTCATTACCATGGAACAAAACATGCACTAAGTGAATACAATAAATAGCATGTAGACAGAACCAATTTGATATTCCACAGGGCAGAGAGGAATCCAACTATCGAATAATACTAAGAGCTCAATTTGAAATTCAGAAAGGAAAAAAAGAGCTTAGACTGTACCCAATGGAAGTTACAGAGGCTTGAATTGGCTTAATACCCTGCTTAGGAAATTGTTGACACAAAAAGCTGCTATTTTTGTTCCATCTTTGGTGGGCAAAAGGGGTACACAATCTTGAAATCTTGGAATTGCTGGGGCTTACTACGCCAGGAGAGGCAAATCCTAGCAGCTTTGCCTCCATTTTTCAAGAAAGCAAAAGGAGTCCAAAAAGAGAGGGAGATCTAAGAATCAAAGCCCAGAAACGTGCAGAGAAATGTCAGTTTGGTGAAGGCAAGAAAATAGAGTTTGATAGGAAAACGAAACGACTTTTGGGTCCATGTAAACCAACTCGTTGGGGATTGGACCGTTTGGTGGTGGTTTAGGTGTTGAAATTTGGTAGGTGAAAATGAGAACAGGAATCCACTAATGACGCACTAGTGCTCAAAAATGGATTGTGGGGATTGGGATTTGAAGCCGAGGGCCCAAAAACTTAGATCGATTCAACCTAATACGCTGTTTCGATGTGCAAAATCCCGTGGAATGAAATGAGTTGTTGGAGTTAGGTGGAGTGAGGATTGTGACAAGAGGTTCCCCGAATCTTCCAATAATTTATTATAAGGTAATTAACATTTCGACCTTTTATTAATATTTTGCAAAATGTCTTTACCTTCTATTTTTTTATATTTTCTCCCCTAATTACACTTTTAATTGTGCAAAATGTCATTTTCCTCCATATTCATCAAACTTCTCTAATAAGTGAAGAGTATTTTCATCTTAAAATTTTGAAGTGGTCTTCTTCTTTCTAAGAATTCGTTTGATTGCAAATGTGGAAAATGGGCGGAAAGAAAATGTTTTACAGGGAATTGAATTGCCTAGAAAATATTTTATTGGAAATTGTAATTAATTGTGTTTGATTGGTATATTTACCTAGAAAATGTTAAAAATTTGGTGTCCGTTTGACTTCTTTTTCACGAAAATTGTCCATTAAAGTGATAGTTTTTTCTACCATTGAATCTAGAATTTGTTCCAATTGTCAAAAAAAAAAAAAAAATTCAAATTTTTTTTACCATACCGAATACTATTTGTTTGGATTTATTTTGTATGGAAATTATTAATAAAAGTGATACTTTTTTTTTACCATTGTATTTAGAATTATTTCCCATAAAAAAGCAAAC